CCCCCCCCCCCGTATCTGATGGTCTGGATCCGCCACTACAGTTTGCAGTGTTTGGGAGCAGATTCCCGCGTTTTGTGCATATAAATGAAAAGTTTACACTAAACATCTCTATTTCTCCTTTATTTTCAGTTACAGAAAAGCAGACTTTCAGTTATGGAAGGAGGAATATTTAAGAAATGACAAACGTGATCAATCAACGGACCATGAAATGTGGAACAAGTAGACAGTCACCTTTTACTGGCACGTTAAAGGGCTGTAATGCAGTTAGCTACCCGGTGTTGTCAAGATCGACATCACAGTTATCACACAGATGTTAACTGCTAAGAGATTTTGATATGGCAGTTAATTCAAAACGTTTTGCTCTTACTTCAGAGCCCGTTTTTTCATCTATAAGGAAGGGATGGGTGGGGAGGCAGCGTGTTGTCATGGGCCATGCAATGTATTTTGTTGAAGGTTACCCAACTATGCAAATCGGGAAGGGAGTAGAAACTTGGAATATATAAATAACTGAAGAGAGAATAGCCGGAGTATATATTTAAAGCGGGCAAAATGTCTTAAATCATGCCAAATAATGTTACGTTCTTCGTGTTGACAAACTAGACTTCTTCGTGGAGACAAACTAGACTGAAAAATAAACGTTGAAGCTTATTTGCGTGGTATTCCGGTTTGCGAAGTATAAACCTTTAATGTGTCACTGTGGTTTTACCTTTGGCTTGTGAGAGTTTTTTCCCCTTTTGCGGATTGACGAAGGTAATACAGCAAAGTCAGATGCGTTAGTGCTGCTAATTTTTATTATTAAATGAAGCAAGACAGATTTTACAGGCTAAGAGAGTACACTGTATAATAGTTTCCCTTCACTCGTCGGTCACAGCCTGACTTCTTCAGTAGAGAATAACCCGCTAAAAACAATCGTTACAATTTCGTTTCTATAAATTCAGGGTATTTAAAAACTTGAATCTAATTACAATATTATTTGCAACTTGAATCCTATATTTTTACTGCACTAAAACTTTACATTTTCCCGAAGTTGCTTTGTGTGACAATTGTTAACATAAGACTAAGCACTTGCATTACTCCGCCATGCAGCCATTATCTTTCCACGTTTATTTCATTTTTAGGTTTAATTGTAGCACGAGATCTAAACTTCGGGCGACCATACTGTGAAAACTCAACGGAAAAATACCACAACAGAGCATGCAACGAACAAGAAGCTGCTGGCCATTGGTACATTGACTCCATTGCACAGGTCGCTGTGGCAGCAGTTGACATCACACTTTGTTACCTTAACCCCAAACAGTCCGGCGAGTTTGCAATCAGCTTCGTTGCATTTCGATTTCACAACACAGGCTTTTTGGAATTTCTTCGTAGCTTGGCCTTGCTCTTCCAATTCTATGTCTAACTTTGCACAGGTGTTTGATTCGGGAGGACATGTCGTATTTTTCCCAGGAACACAGTCATCCCAACTCTTTGTCGAGGTGCACTGGTAGCACTTGATGCCATGTCCTGCAAACCAAAGCAGAAAATTGTTATTTCTAAACTTTCAGAGCTGAATCAGTTTCTCAATAGCCTAT